AAGAGTGTGAATGGGTAACTTCAGAGAAGAAAAAATACAAATAGCTAATAAACATAGTAAGATGTGCAACCTCCCTAATTATCAAGGAAATAAAAATCATGTCTATTAATTTGAAAAAAATCTTTAAAATCAGTAATATCAAATATTATTATAACTGCTATAAAAATTGATATAGTTTGGCTAGCAATAGGGGCGGGATCTCTTAAAATTTTAAATCCAATTCCAAGATGTAGTATCCGCCTAAACAAATAACAGCACATGTGTACTGTTATTTGTTCCAGCAGGAACCACCTCACACCAAAGGCACATAAAAGATGCCTCCCCTCTATCTGCAGGTAAGCCAGCCCTTACTGCCTCAGTTCACTGCAAAAGGGAAGAACTAGGAATGAGGTTACGCCCATCAAGTGTGGTTATAGTTATATAAACTGTGTTACACCCCAAATGGATTTTCAGTACATATTGTTACTGCCAGAAAAATTAGTACTGTCACTTTTGGTGGTTGAGTAAGAGAAGAGAACAAGTTCAAAAAGTTATTTGAATTCCATTTTTTATCTCTATTGTAACCTAAAGAAAATTATGACAGGACTGTCTTGGCAGAGAGCAGTATATTATACAGAAGAATTTCTCTACACAGCATCCCGTGGAAGCATGTCAATCAATAACTCATGATCAACCAATAATTTTGACAAATATTTTTAGATTTCCATGGTACTACCGTCAATCTGATATAATCTCTGACAAAGAGTCATGGAAACTAACTTCTAAAAAAGTGTGCCTATAGCTGAAAACCAAATCATTTTTAACCATCAAAAAATAAATTTATGTGACTTTGCTTATACCTATTAGCTCCAATAAGAATCTTGGTTTAAGAAAACTTGAAAAAAAAATAGTTCAATTATTGACTCTGCCAATTACTCCTGAGTTTAAAAAACAAAAACAAAAACAAAACAAAACAAAACAAAATACTGGGGGTGATAAAGTCAGCTGCTGATGGTTCTCGGGTGGGTTTACCCAGACACACGCTATCATCCCAGGGACTGGTGGTTTGCTGGTATCACGGCAGACTCTCTGCCTATTTTCCACTATTTATTGTACTTTCCCCCTTTGATAACAGAAAACATTAGAAAAGCACAAGAAAAGAATATTTTTACCTCGGGCATTCTGATCAGTAATACTTACATTAATAGTTAAAGTGAGTGTATACCATTTTTTTGCTGTAACGTCAGCATGTCCTGAAGTATATATGATCCATCCAGCTGTAACACAAAGAGATTATCCCAGCTGATGTATTTTTAAAATCTAAATCACAGAATCCCATAACTCAGTGGGGGTTCTTAGGCGCATTTGTATGTAGTAAAGTCAGCCTTAATAAAGATCAACATTTCCATACCTACAATTGATTTAAAACAAAACATCCTTCATTCAGGCATCCATCCAGCATGCAGAGAGATCCTACTCTGAGCCATATGTGAGCTCACAAGAGAACGAGCAAAATAAACGTACAAACCAAGCATGGTACAATGACGCATTAGCGTGTAGAGTTCAGGCCTGCATGTACACCTGATTGGACTGAATATGGAGGATAAGGAGGAAGAGTCAAAACCTACCATACGATTTCCAGCTAGTGTACCTGGCTACATGGTAACAGCATTCGCTGAGAATTAGAGAGAAAATAATAAGCTAAGTTTTTAATGTATTATATTTGAATGCCTGAGAGAAAGCCAGGATGAGATGTCCGGTGGGCAGTTTAAGACACAGAGCAGTGGGGACTGAAGTCAGAGATTTAAATCCCTAGTTCCAATTCTGCCACTACCTCATTTTGAGACCTCGGGTAAAGCAATTAACCTCTCTGGCACTCTCTTTTGGATTGGAAAATGCAAGGTACCTTCCAGATCAGTCATGCTATGATTATGCAATTCCTATTCTAATGTCCTCATTACCCACTCCCTCTTTAATTTTTATTTTATTATTGGAGCCCTTTTCACCTTAGGAAGAGGCATAGGGGAACAAACTATAGGAGAGAAGATTTTTTATTAATGCATGATGAAAGTCAAGAGACTATGAATCAAGAAGAGTCACCACCAATAAGGTCTAGTTTCAACAGAGCGGTGTGTACCCAGACCAAAGTGAAGTGGATGGAATTCAGCTTGAACGGATTCTAAGCACCTATTCTGGATAAAATACTATTCTACATAAGACAAGGACTGTTAAGATGAATGAGAAAAGTCCAGCTGCTTTCAAGTTATTGACTAAATTAGGAAATAGGAATTCTCCATCTTAAGCAAATCAATCCTTCCTTTTGTATTTCCATAAGCACACCAGCAACATTCTTATAGTCTTGCTTTTAGTTATAGTGTTTCCTGAGTATTCTCTCCCTACTACTACCACCACACCCCAATCTCTGGTAATCCTACTCTGACAGCCTAGCTCAACTCTACAAGAGCCGAAAAGGTTTGCACAATTTTCTCTTTCACTGAGCTGCCTCTGTCTGTACTAATTAACACTATAATTTTGAATCGTTTGGCGTTTGCTTACACGTGTTGAATCTCTTCTCAATTAGATGTTTGAACACGATGAGGTATAAAGCTCCTTCATTACTCCCATAGGTAACAGACAGATATAGCAACATATCACATAGTAACCATGTGCTACAGAAGAAGCCACTTACCTAGATCACCTGTAACTCTGTAGGTTCCATTTGCAAAAATCCAGAAGAAAACTCCCCTGGCACTTCTAATCAAAATACCACCTTTATTCACTCTTCCAGCAATGAACACACCTCCCTTCTCAGGGGTCTCTAGGTACACATCACACTTTATAGTCAAATTGGACCTGCAAAATCAAAGTGTTAGTGCTTTTAATTATGTCATTTCAAATGTAGCACAAATGGCTCTTTTCACAGTCACATGCTTCCAAACTTCTAATCAAGGTATGTGATTTGCTAAGTCCACACTTATACCAGGGATGGGCTTCATTGATGATGGTTTCAAGTTTTACAGGACGGAAGTCAAGTCATTTCATTGCCTCTTTTAATGACTTACTGTTGGAAAAGAATATTTACTGTTTTCAAGCTTCTTAAGGATATATTTCCTGTCTTTCTATAATAAAATAACTTCTCATTCGAAGAATATAAGAAGAAGCCATTTTTTCTAGGAATACGTAAAAGATAAGTTTCCACATCATTCTGAACAAAAAGGTTTATTACATTTCCATCAGCAAAGAGAAGCAGTGGAGACTGCTAGGAACCTCTGGGAGAACAAAAGCTGCTTTGAGGCTAATTTTTACATTTAACCCTACCAAGATACAGTCAACTCTACGTTGACTCTACAGTAGGGCTTTGCACACTTGAGCAGTATTGAAATCACCCTGGAGGGCTTATTCAGTTCAGTCTGCAGGCCCCACCCCTCAGGGTCCGATTCAGTAGGTCTAGGGTGGGCCCCTTGAGTGCGCATGTCTAACAAGTTGCCAGGTGATGCTGATGCTTCTGGTCCAGGAAATCTCACTTGGAGGACCATTTTCCCCTACAGAGTACCTAAGTCTGTGCAGAGGCAGTAAAACCCTGGTTTTGGTATCACTGACAGGAGATCAAAGGACGAGAAAGGTTCAGCCAACCAGGAACTACCAGAGCTTTAACAATGAGATCTCCAGGCTTCCTTTTACAAATGCTTCTGGATTCCTTCTGCAATGATATAACCACCCCAATCCAATACGACCTCTGAAAATAATTCCCCTCCCACTCAAATTCTAAGTGCAAATGGAAAAGAATTAGAAAGCTTGCACACAGTCACGTAATAAAGCAAGCAATTTATCTAAAATAAAACTAAGAATGTCAAGAAATATATTTTGGAAATGGGGAGAAATTGGGTCCAGAATTATGTGACTTTTACACTTCTCAGAGTTTCCTGCCAGTGAATTTTGCACAGTGAAATTTTACTTTGTAAAGGAAAACATAAAAAAGAAGCACCTACAGCAGGTACACAACAATCAGGAAAATCTACATTTAATCATTTAATCAAAGCTGGGCTACTTTACGGGAAAATCAAATGCTAAGTAACTTAAGCCCAGTCTCTCTTGTATGTCCTCCCACAGCAGAGGGAGTTTTTCTCTCTGTAGATTATCACCAGCATGAAACCACCAAGGATCAGCCTTGTTCCTTACATCCCCTACCTCCCTGCTGGCTCATCAGAAGTTTGAAAGTGCTACAGATCCTGTCAGCACCAAAAACTTATTCTATTTAGAGTTAAGAGTGAGAGAAGATCAAATGTTTTCCTTTTACACATTACAGTCCAGAATAAGTGATTCTTGCATCACAACTTACCGGCAATTTTACAGATAATGAATAAAATAGAATAAAAGTTTGGTTTAGTCTTCCACAGCCATAATCTCTTGGAAGTGCTGAGAGAACAAAAACCAGCCAACATAATTAAGCAAATTTGATCAAAAGGATGCAGAATTCAGGTCTGTGCAGCGAAAGATAATTTTGTGATTGTCCTCAGATCCCAACCAAAGCTTACTAACAAGATGGAAGTCTTTAACAGCTTTGGTAAAGTCTACCATTTATAGTCAAATTACTGTGCTGATACTTAACTAAATCTAAATATGAGAGAAGGTCTGTCCTAAACGCAATTCTAAGAACTGATGGCGCACATACAGCCGATTTACTAGAATAGCACTATGGATAAACTCCACTGACTTACTAACTTCCCCTTTCCTCCTCTCAGGAAGAAGACAATCATTAAAACAAGGCCGTGAGGTATAGTCCAGGAGCATGGGCTACAGCACCAAACAGACCTGGCCTCTTGCCCTGGTTCTGGAATTTAAAAGTATGGGATCTTGAACAAATCTCACCCCGAAGCCTCAGTTTCCCAGTCTGTAAGGTAAAGAGGATGCTACCTTTGCCAAAAGGGAAGCTCATACCAGTGTTTAGTGTTACCCAGTTTTCATTCCCTCCCTTCCCTGCAATAAATGGGCATCACAGCCAGAGTACAGAAATGAACATGGGATGTGTGTACATCCCTAAACAGATCCGGCTCCCTTGAATCCAGGACAGGATAATGGGAAATAACACAAAATAAATAGGATGAGACCAAATTTTAAAAGATCTTGGAAGTCAGGCATAGAAGTGCAGATCTGGTTTGGTAGCAGGAAAGAGTCACTGCATATTCTTTTTTTTTTTTTTGCGGTACACGGGCCTCTCACTGTTGTGGCCTCTCCCGTTGCGGAGCACAGGCTCCGGACGCGCAGGCTCAGCGGCCATGGCTCACGGGCCCAGCCGCTCCGCGGCATGTGGGATCCTCCCGGACCGGGGCACAAACCCGTGTCCCCTGCATCGGCAGGTGGACTCTCAACCACTGCGCCACCAGGGAGAAGCCCCACCATATTCTTGAGCAGTGAAAGAACATGATGAAAGTAGGGCTTAAGAAAGACAAAAACGGTCCTTTCTTGACATGAATAATTGCCATTTCCTGGTTCTTTTTCTTTCAGAATATGTCACTCCTTCCTTCTCTCCCCACTTTCCCCCATCCTCCTCTTCACCTCCTTACACACTGCAATAGTAAAGATTGAGTATTGCTATTTAAATACTGCAAAACCTTCAAAGGTATGAAGAGTTTTGTTTAATCTGTAGATGGTGCTCTACATCATCTCTCTGCTACAATGAAAGAGTCTCTCAGGTTTTCTGGAGTCCCAGGCAGAAACAATAGATTTGGGGTTCAGAGAGAGCCCTGTGTAGTGTTCATGAGCATGGGGGATATGGGTTGTCACAGAAACTTAAAGGTTTTCTATGGTGGCTGGCTTCCAGACCGGTGATCAAAATAACAGGGCCCATCCCTTAGACAATTAAACGCAGCCACCTGTCTTACTGTAAGATCATTAGTAACAAATGACGAAATCACAAATCCCGCTGACATGACCAGAATGTCCAGATAAAGTGTCTGGTACAGAGGTGTTGGGATAAACAGTATTTCTGTTGTATAAGAAGATAAGCCATTGAAGTTATTCTAAATTAGGCAAGAATTCTTTACTCTACTCCCAATAACTCTCCAAGGAGCTGTAAGGGTTCTAGAAACTCTGGATAGGAGTTTCTTAAGACTTACTATCTGAGCTTGGGACTAGAACTGGGATTTATAACAGGGAGTACGGCAATACAGAAAGGATAGAGACTTTCTGCAGCATTCTACAGATAAACAATTCAAAGCTCTTTTCCAAATTATCTTCCCTTCCCTGCCCAATTTCCAAGCTACAGATATGGCTATTTGGTGACTTGACATTAATAGTTACTATCACTAAGCCTGAAACGCTTGTGTTCTATGTTTCACAGTAGCATTATACTAGTTAAAAGAAAAAATAGAAAAGAAACACCTAAAACAGTTTTAATTAGTCAGTACATTGGAATTCCGTAACTGACTTCTCAGTTTTGCTTTGGCCGTTATATTTTGAGTGAAGAATAAATACATCTTCTTTCTTTGTCAAATGCCTAAATAAAAGAGTGGAATTCTCTAGCCAACTAAAAGCTGATTTGCTTTTTACTGTTGCCATCTACTGTCACCTGGTAAATAGATTTTCCACAAAAGCTACAACAATGTAATTCAAGTATGAATCCAGCAGGTGGCAACACCATTTCAACAAATCAACTCTCCAGCAAAAACAAAAAAAACAACATGCAAATCACAGTCTGCTTATAAATAAATTTTAAATTATAACTGGGTCCAAAAGTCCTCAATTTTTATATTAAAATCAATCTGATCCTGCAACAATTACTATTAAATTGGGCAAATCTGAGGGAAGGACACTTAGGCAATAAAACAATTGGCTGGTTTATGGCCACCGCGATATTCAACAATTATAACACACCTATTAGGTTCTTGGACAGGAGAACTGTTGAAAAGTCCTGGCTTCAGAATGTACCTGACAGCATTACAAGGTTATTTCAGCCAGATCTACATAAGGATGTCAATTTTACATACCATTTGTAATCTCCTATAATACTGATGGTGTTGAATGCATCAGCAGCCCAAGTAATGGGCCTTTGATTGAGAACCTGGCGCAGTGTGAAGCGATGCTCTCCAGGGTCTTCAATATTCATAAAGTATTCAAATACACCAGTCTGATCAGCAAAATTCGGAGCTTCACTAAAAAATGGGTAATCTGTTCAGAACACAATAAATTCTTTGTTTAGTATCAAACCTTACAGAATCTCTCCTCTCTGATATTTTCTGGTACATTGTGATATACTTGTGAAAAGTTTTAAATAAGTAAATGATACTTATAAACAGTCAAAGTTTAGGGTTTAGGTTACTAAAGAGCTATTGACTTTTATATCATCTTTATTAAGTATCAATGTAATCAGTTTGACCTACAGACTTTACATACTTAATCCATGCAACTGCTTAAGAGGAAAGATCATGAGTTCTGGAATAAGCAGACCTGGGTTCGGATTCTCGCTCAGTCGGTTCCCCAGGCAAGTTGCTTAACGGCCCTGACTTACCAAGTTTTCAGCTTCTCAAAGGTACGAAAGCAGTATGCATTCAGTAAAAACTGTACCTCAACTTCTGAATTTTGACCAGGATGCCCTCCTGTGATGCCGGGTAGTGGCAGCAAGCTGCAGTGAGCCACACTTCCATCAGCCATGCAATCACGAGGGTGAACAACAGATACACTCAGAACCATTCTGTACCCAGACAACCACTTTGCTTTTCACTTTCAGTACTGTCTTCAATAAACAACATGACATATGCCACACCTTATTAGGCTTTGTGTTGGATGATTTTGTCCAACTGCAGGCTCACGTAAGTTTTCTGAGTACATGTAAGGTAGGCTAGACTGAGTTATGAGGTTTGGTATTTTTGACTTATGATATTTTCAACTTACGATGGGTTTATCAGGACCTAACCCCACCGTAAGTTGAGTAAGATCTGTATAACTTTCATTCCAACAATAACCTCTACATTTTTTCTGGCACTGAAACTTACAGGACCCTCAAGTTGCGATTTATCTTGAAGTGACACAAAAACTAGTTCCCGTTTACCATGTAGAGATTTAGAGCTAAATTAATGTAGTTCTCACAACCACTCCATCAGGCACCGGTTTGACAGGTAGAAATCTATCCACTACTGCTGAAATTGGAAACCAAGTTAAGTTTTAGTACAAAAACTTACCGACATTGAAGTCATCCTTATAGACACAGGGAAAGGGCTGGGACTTCGGAGGCAGCAGGTAACTGCCTTTGCTTCCGGTGGTGAGCGTGGTGAGTGTGAACAGCTCGTCCTCTTGCAGTTCCAGCGTGAAGCTGCCACCGCTGTCTAGGAGCTGAGAAAGAAACAATGCTGTGTTCAGGCCAAGTGCTTTGAATCATCTCATTTGGGTCAAATAGCTTTTTAAAAAATAAGCTTAAGATAAGCCAAATTCACTTCTTTTAGAATTTCCTAACTACTTGTGAAGGACACACTCAATATCAAGGCCCTTGGAATCATTTTTCTTAAGTTACTTATAAGACTTTATACAATTAAACATTCCAGAAAGGATATTAAAAGAATTTCTTTTCACAGAAGGAAGAAGGACTAGATGATCCCCAAATCTATTTCCATTACTCTGTCTTTTCCATTAGACTGTACTATCCTTAAACCCTGTGTATAATTCAATACATGTAACCAAGAGATCTGCTTATTTATTTTTTAGGACTTTGCTAAGGTAGAAAAAATCCATAAAATCTTATTGTTGACTCAGCTGTTAAACACAGAAAACGTTTACTATATAAAAAAAGTCCTACTCATTACATGTTCAATACGTATTTCAATTAAAAAATTACATTTACGTCACGTATTTGACCTTGGCATATAAAGCCATAATCTCTTCATCTATAAAATGAGGGGAAGGAAACATACTTCATAGGGCTATTGTGAGGATTAAATGAGAAAATGTTTATAAAGTTCTAAGCTCAGTGAGTGACCTACGAGAAACCTTCCCTACATCATAGGTGTCCTACGGTAAAAGCAGGCCTCTGAAGACACTGAAGTCCTCTGCATAATTGTCACAGGCACTAAACATTATGTCCACTTTATGAAACCTGAGTAGCTCTTTTTTTCTACTTTATATTAGAGGTTTATGCCATACCTTTGCTTTAATAAATTGTTGGTCAGATCTATGAAATATCTAATACCATATTCTGGCTTAGGAAGAACTCCAAATGATATTATTTTTCCTATGGGGAAAATCAGTTTTATTATGCTATTTCTAGCAATGTGTTGTGCAAAAATTAGAGACTATTCCTTTTTTCAAATTTAATATACAATGGGCGTTCAATTATTGATACTGACTAGTTGAGTCACAGAACTTTAATAATTACCATAAAAAGTAGCAGATTTGTGTCAGTTAGGTGAAGTGATGTGCTTGCATGGGCCAATTCATTCTTTGAAACATTTACTCATGAGAAACCACCATTTGCTAAGCTCTACACTAGGCACCTGGGACAAAAAGTTATATAAGGCTGGGACCCAATCCTCGAGGCATCCAGTGTAGTGGGGAAAGTGTTTACTAGGTAAGTACATATCCCTAGGTGGCTATGACCTAAGACTGGTGAGGAAGGCTTCAGAGGAAGCAACACTTGGGCTGAGTCTTGAAGGATGACAAAGATATGAACAGAAGGCATTCTAGGACAAAGAAAAAGCATGTGCAAAGTCACAGAAGTAATTAACTTGGCATGCCATGCTCTGAAAAATGCAAGATGTTTAGTCTGTGAGGAAAGGCCAGTTTAGTAGGACATGCATCTAGAAAGGAAAGCAGTCTTTTACCTCATGAGGGGATAACGTGGGTCACATGCCACACTAAGGAACGTGAACTTATAGGAAAAATCACTAAGGCATTTGAGCAGGGACTGACAAAAATCAGATCTGCATTTAGACGCATCATTCTGGTAGTAGTGTGATGGGTGGCGGGGAGACTGAAAAAACAAGAGATAGTTTCCGAAATCCGAGAGAGACATAATGAGGAACTGAAACAAGCAGTAGCCATGGGAATGGAAAATAAGGAATGGGTAGGAGAAATATGTGGGTGATACTGTCTATACTTGATCACTGATGGTATACAAAGGGTGAGTGGGAATGACAGTCTCAAATGAGACTCAAATTTCTGACAAGAACCAAGTGGTGGTTGGTACCATTCACCAAGACAAACTAAATACCAAGAACAAACACATCTACCAAACCATACTGCCTTGAAGAGGACTTCTATTTAAAAGAATGGGGGGCAAACTTTACCTCTATTATGCTTCAGCCATAAAATCAGTTATGAAATTAAAAATTAATTCATTAATCAAATTTCTGTTCCCTTTACTGTTGCAATGCTCACACTATAGGAATTTATTGAAAACTACCCATAGAGAATCCAGTTGTTTGAAAAGAAATCTCTCTGATGGTTTTCCAAGTTTGGTATACCACACCTGCAGCTCTGGTATTTCACTCTAAGGAGAAAACACAAAGAAAGCATAGTTGAGTGATTCATCATCTCCTCTTTGAGGATTTCTAAAATCTGTACCAGCAAGAATGAATCAATGACAACGTGCATTCTATTTCTATTTACCGAAAGATCCACCTCAAATCTTAAATAGTAAACATTTTGAAAGTAGGAAGACATTATTCAAGCAAATACTTTATTTCTTAAAAATACTGCAGACTTTTGGCAAATGTTCAAAAAGATTTTAGTGTCTTTGCTTCAAAAATACTCATTATTATACCTATGTAAAAAGTTTTTTAAGAATTTTCTGGCATTAAAAAACAATTCTTACACGATTAGTAGAAAGAGCACTGTATTTCTGTATTCAAATCTAACAATAGGTAGAAATAACAAGAATCTTGTCTCTTTTTTTTGTACAGAGTACCGTAAAGATCAATGCTTGACAGTTCCCTCAACTGCACAAATGATGCTCTACCAAAAAGAACAACTTTCTTGCAAGTGACCTTTGTTAGGATTCTTCAGAACCACAAAGAGCATTACCTCCTAGTGGCTTCTGTATGTTTGACCAAAACTAGTCAGCAGACGTAACACACCAAGGCATTTACCCATTCATATGCAAACTCTTAATCACTTGTAATGTAAGACTTCACTTAAGAACTGCTAGCCCGTGATAAAATATATAAATTCTCAAATCAAAATCAAAATAAAAGTTCCACTTATGTACTTACAAAAGAACCCTTAAGAATGAAGGTAGCAAATTGTCGTGAAACATTGAAATAGGGAAGAAGTGGCCGTATACACATGGAATGTTTATGACTCTGAGTAGAAAAAAAAAAAAAGAATCATGTAAGTTATCCGAATGATATACAAGCCATTTTGGGGGGAAAAAAACAAACAAACATTTAATGCCTATAGATTAACAGAAATGACACATAATAGGTGACAAATAACAGTTTATTGCAAACTTTGAAAGACTTTTTTCTTAAAAACATTTATTGAATGTCTATTGTGTATGCCTAGTCAAAGTAAAACTCAATGGCATTTTGACTGAATCAAACTTTGAATTCCAGTCATTTGATGGCACACAGATTAATTTTTATGTTCTGTTTTCCAAGTAATACACATCAAAACAAAAGTAAATCTTGGGACATTTTCACTGAAAATGCATCTCACCTATATATAACCTTCAAATACACAACTGAGGTCAGCTAAATACATATAACAAATCTCACTGCCAGCATCATTTTTTTCAAAATAATCAGTACAATGGGCTGGGATCAAAAGAAGTCTGAGACATCATCCCGACTTTAGGGGATTCAACAATCACAGAGGACTTACAATATAAGGTTCTGGGACAGGCTTTGTGGGAAAATTTTAAATTACAATTACAGTTAGAGATTTCAATACCTTTCCTCAATAACTGATATACCACTAGACAGAAGATCAACAAAGACACAGGTGATTTGAACAACACTACCAAGTAACTTGCCTGGACTGACATCTATAGATCACTTCATCTAGCAATTGCAGAATGCATATCCCTTTCAAGTGCACAGGGAACAGTTACCGAAGTACACCATATTCTTAGCCATAAAAGAAGTCTCCATAAATTCAAAAAGATTCAAGTCACAGAAAGTTTGTTCTCTGACCACAATAAAACTAAATCAGAAATGAATAACAAAAATCTCTGGAACAATTCCAAAATATTTAGAAACTAAATAACAAATTTCTAAATAATTCATGCCTCAAAGAAAAAAAATTAAAATAAAAGGTGAAATTAGAAAGAATTTCGAGCTGTATGAAAAGCAAAACACAACACATCAGGATTTGTGGGATGCCACTAAAAGAGTAGTTAGAAAAAAATGTATAGCACTGAACACCTAGATTAGAAATGAAGAAAGGATTTGAGACTTTAGCTTAAGATACTAGGAAAAGAAGAGCAAATTAAAACCAGAGTAAGCATAGGGTATGTATGGGATTAAGAGACATGAACTACTATGTATAAAATAGATAAGCAGCAAGGATATACTGTACAACACAGGAAAATACAGACATTATTTTTTAATAATTTTAAAGGGAGCATAATCTATAAAAATACGGAATCACTATGCCGTGTATCTGAAGCTAATATAATATTGTAAATTGACTACATTTCAATAAAAAATTTAATTAAACTTAAAAAAATGAAGTAAGCAGAGGAAAGGAAATAATAGAGATGAAAGGATAAATCAAACAAAAACCAGAAAAACAAGAGAGAATAATTGAGAAACCAAAAGCTGACTCTTTGAGAGGATTAACAGAATTAAATAAACTTCTAGCCAGACTAATCAGGAAATCAGGATAAAAAGAAAACATAAATTGCAATTATGAACATTAAGAAAGGTGACATCAATACAGAGTATATAGATATTAAAAGAATAGTGGGGAATAATATCAATAACTTTGTGCCCAGAAATTTAACAACTTAAAAAGACAAATTTCTTTGAAGACACAAAAACCCAGTGCTCACTGAAGAAGACATGGACAAACTGAATAGCCCGATATCTGTAAAGGAAGTTGAAACTGTAGTTAAAAAGTTTCCCACAGGGCTTCCCTGGTGGCGCAGTGGTTGAGAGTCCACCTGCCGATGCAGGGGACGCGGGTTCGTGCCCTGGTCCAGGAAGACCCCACATGCCGCGGAGCGGCTGGGCCCGTGAGCCATGGCCGCTGTGCCTGCGCGCCCGGAGCCTGTGCTCCACAACGGGAGAGGCCACAACAGTGAGAGGCCCGCGTACTGCAAAAAAAAAAAAAGTTTCCCACAGAGAAAACTGTGATCCCAGATAGATGGCTTTACTGGGAAGTTCAAGTCAACCTGGGAGCTTTGCTCAAACAGGAAGTAAGAGCTAAGGCAGAGTTGTAAACTGCCTGCCTGAGTATTGAGGCATGCCCTAACTGTGCACACAGAGCCCATCAGCAAAGGCTGGGACACTTACTAGTTCCAAACATAAGGAAATCTGTACAGTCATGATCTGACCACTAAGATAATTGAGCAGAGGCTTCAGTGGCCACAAATGATAAAGCTTACAAACTACAGAATTTGTTCAGGAAAGTCACAAAGCAAATAAACAGCAACAACCACAACAAAGAGCAACAACCACAAATGCTAGATAGGAGGAAGAATCTGATCTCCACAGTCTCCATGTTATTTTATGTAATATGTCTAGTTTTCGACAAATCATTATGAGATTTGCAGAGAACCAGGAAAGAAAGGCCCATACACAGGCAAAAGAGCAGTTGACAGAAACTATGTCTGAGAAACTCCGGTCATTGCTTATTAGATATTAGACTTCCTAGACAAAGACATTAAATCAGGTATTTAAATATGTTCAAAACACTGAATGAATAATGAATAAAGGAGAGATCTGCTTCCAGAATGGCAATGGGAGGAGCTCCATGAACCTGCTCCCAGTGAACCTGGTGGAAACTATTTAAATAATAATTACAGTAATGTCTCTGGAAATGGTTCTAAGGCCATGCAACAAATATAGAAACATTTATTCAATAAAATCTACTAAAACTCATGGCATTTAAACCATGATCCACTCCCTCCCTGTCCCTCTCAGCCTAGAGTGACAGAAACTCCATGCCAAGTAGGTTCAGCCAAGAACACAGGGTTCCCTCACTCCCAGCTCCCAGGTGAAGACAACAATATCTTTGTGAGAGAAGCAGAATATCAGCATTTCTCACCCCCCTTCCCCTCAGCTACTTGGTGCTGAGGACAAGTAGCCATGAGTGTGGCCAAGAGGCTGAGGGTTCCCTTCCTCTGTCCAGGTTCTATTCACAGACTCACCTTAAACAAGGCACACTGAGAATATGGGGGTTCCAAACCCCCACCCAGCACCATACTCCTAAATCAGAGGTTTCACTAAGAGAGAAACACACCCTTGTCCCCATCTCCAACTCCAAGCTTCAGCTCAGAGATTTTGTCCAGAGAGAGAGACAGGTCATAAAACAAAGAGTTCAGAAAGTCTCCCCAAAGAAATTGATTGTACTTAATGCAGAGTATGGGGAAGTTCAAGAGTAAGGGTGCTCTTAAAAATAATGGAAGTTTTGGTGGCAAGCAAATAAAAAGAGACTGTCAGCTTCATTAGATGCATAAGCTAAACCACTGCCCAGGTATTTTGACAGGGAGAACCACAAAAAAAGAGAGCTAGGAAGAACCCTCCTGATGTCAGAATAAACCTAAAACACTAACCTCAAAATCCACCTCTGCAAATAAGCTGGAATTTAATTGGATCAGCATATGGAGCAATTTAAGCCCCTGAGCACTGTTGAAAACAATAGAGCAATCCACCAGTAATTAGTGAGGCAATAACAGAGAGGTGCACCTGCCCAAAGCCGCATTGTCTAAGAAGCAACATTTGAGGCCTCTCAGTGCGGGGGAGGGGGTGGGTGGGTGGAGGGAATAAACTTCACTAAATTACTCTAGCCAATCACTAAGCAAACAAGCAAGCAAACAACAAACCCCAGGAAAGGAGGGAACCAGTACCCAGAGTTACCACAATATATTATATAAAAGGTCTGGCTTTCAACATAAAATTAGGAGACATTCAAAGAAACAGAAAAGTGTGACCCATACACAAAAACTAGGCAACAGAAACCACCTGTGAGAGCAACCAGATGCTGGATTTAACAGTTGAAGACTTCAAAGTAACCAATATAAATACATTTAAAGAGCTAAAGGAAACAAGGCTTAGAGAAGTAAAGGAAGATATAATCACAATGTCTCATCAAGCAGACAATATCAATTAGGTGACAAAAAAATTTTACAGGAACCAAATGGAAATTCCGAAATTGAAAAATATAATAACTGAAATGAAAAATTCACTAGAGGGGTCAACAGTAGATTTGAAATAGCAGATGAATTAGAGGATTTGAAAACAATTGATAGAAATTGTGCAACCTGAGGAACTGAGGGGGAAAAAAAAACAAAGGATAAAGAATAATGAACAGAACCTCAGAGAAATGTGGGATACCATTAAGTACACCAACATATATATAATGGGACAGTAGAAAACAGTGGAGAGAGAAAGGAGCCGAAAATATATTCAAAGAAAAGTAGCCGAAAACTTTCCAAATTTGATGAAAAACATTAATCTACAGATCCAAGAGGCTCAACAAACTCCAAGAGGAATAAATACAAAGAGATGCACATACAGACACCCAGTAAAAATGCTGAACGTCAAAGAAAAGAAGAAAATCTTGAAAGGAACAAGACCATTTACAAGGGAACATCAATAAGATTAATAGTTGGTTTATCACCAGAAACAATGGAAGACAGCACATTCAAGGCAAAACTGTCAGCCTACAATTTTATATTAAGCAAAACTACCTTTTGAAAAATGAATATCTGCACTGGAATGCAGCTAATAGAAATCTGAAGTAGACTCTAATAAGTCAAGATTTCTACACTACATCCTGGAACAACCACTTAAGAAAATAACTCACTAAAATATAGTAAAAAAATAATAATTAAAAGAATTTAAATATTACATCACAAAATATTGACTTATTGCAAAAGAAAACAGTAACAGAAGAATAGATGAACCAAAATAATGAGATGTATAGAAACTAAAAAGTAAGCTGAAAGATGTAAATCCAACTATATCAATATTAACATTAAATGTAAATGGATTAAGCAATTGAATCAAAAGGTCAGACTAAATTTTTCAAAAAGCAAGATCCAACTATATGCTGTCAAAAAGAAAGACAACTTAGATTCAAAGAAACAAACAGAGGAGGTTGGATCAAGATGGTGGAGTAGGAGGATGCGGAGCTCACCTCCCCCTACAAACGTGTCAAAAGCACATCTACCTGTGGGACAATTCTCAAAGAAAACTAACTAGGAACTGGCAGAAGAACTTCTATACAACCAAAGCTGCAAGAAGGATTTCCACGTAACTGGGTAGAATGGAAAAAAAGGCATAAGGTTGGGTCCTCCACCCCTGGAAGGGATCTGAAAGGAAGAAAAGGTTTGCTCTCAACCTGGAGAGTGAGCAGGTCAAGACACAGACTGGTTGTCCCAGTCCTGGGATCCTATGCAGAGGAGAATAGCTCCCCTGTTTGTTTGTTTTTTTAAGAAGGTGCTCAGTTGTGTTTTATGCTATATTTCCCAATACTAACAAAGTGAATTAATCCAATAAAAACAACAAAGAATTACCATAGTTTCAACGATGATGGTGAGGTTACCTAAGCCATCCGTCAGAGCTACATAGCTTCCTCCTTTTTCTAAATGGCCAACTGTCTTCAGGTAATACCAACCTGGTTGAGTAAACTGAGTGGTATGAGCTATAGACAAGCAGAGAAAGACCCAAATAAGATTAAAACTGTGATAATAGGATTTCGTCAAAAAATAAAAAGCTGTTTACTGATTTGAGTCTGAAAGAAAACAGAACATGCCACCCCAAAATGTGCCACTTTAGCATGTGGATTATTTTGAGCTGATGGCAATCAAGACCTAGCAGACAAAAGAAAAACTTTTCTCTCTCCTTTAACTGCCTGAAAGAATTTAGATAGGGGACATGGCACAGAAAGACAGCTACTACCAGAGACAACTTTGTATCTGAAAGATTCACCTGCATGGCAGGGCAAACATCTGCTCTTCTCTTCCTATGAACTGTCTTCCTCCCCTTTGAAGCTCCAGGTCCCTATCCCATTCCTTAGCTCAGGATGGCATATTAAACCTCAATTGCCTGACTGCAAATTTGAGTCTCATATTTTTTTTTTTTTTTTTTTTTTAGTAGTACAAAATTAAATGTGTTTTTTTTCCTGGTGATCTATCTTATATCCATTTAATTATTAGATTAGCCAAAGAACCTAGAAGGGTAGAAGGAAAACTTTTCCACCCCAAGTCTGATTGAGTCTAACAACTATTTTCTACTTTGGAGAAGAATATTCACTGGTCTCATGTTTCAACTTCTAGTTAAATGGTACAATTATGGGAATATTCTTAGAATGACTGGTGAAGATAAATGAACCACACTCTGTCCGTTCAAGACTACTGAGTAAACCTTTTTTTACCAAGAGTAAAAAATAAAGTTATCCCCTCCCAACTTTTGATGATCTCTATTTAACCCATCCTAATATAACTACAAAGAATATGGTTTTTAAAAAGTTAACAAAATATTCCAAAAACTAAGCTTTATGGTTTCAAACAAGTTTATTTCCACAATATGTATTTACTGGGCACCTCCAAAGTTGGTCCTGAAAATGTACTGAGCAATATTCCTTGTCCATTTTGGGAGGTGACACAATTAACCGGTGACAAAAATTAGAAAAGTACATTAGTTCATGTAGATAATGTGGGACCAACTATTTCAACATTTAAGGGGTTAACCAACCAGGATATACAAATCCAACTTAACACTTCCATATTTTTGAAATAACAACCTGAGTTTAGAATAATGTCATGGTTACATGATGTCATGACTACAAATCTCTGAGAAAAATATATCAACTAAAAAAAAGGCTGGTCTTAGAATAATTGAGAATGAAATACACAAAGCAGCCTAGTTACCCAAAAGGTTCTTACAAAACACTATGACAAACCTTGCTTGAAACAGAGACACATTTAAAACTAACACACACACACACACACACACACACACACACACACACACAGAGTGTTCATATAATGCCCTCTAAGTGTTTTCTGCTTTGTCTCTTAGAGAGTAAGTTAGGGATTGAGAGATGGAATCTGAACCATACCTGATATCCAGATAGGAGCTTCCACTACATAGTGCCCGCTCCATGGCTCCTGAGCAGTCATCAGTCCACAGCGCCCATATGGCAACTGTTCATAGTAACTAGCCACCAAATTCCAAGCAATTGTGCTAAAAGATTTGTTTGATAAAAAAGAAACACCAAAGCAGCTTGTAATAAAAATGTAAATATCTACAAGCCTACAGTAAAAAAGACCTTATCAGAGTTTACACAAATATATGTAAATGACAAAAAATTACCACCCAAAACAAGAAAATGTAAGTTGCCTAAAGTTCACCCACATTTTGAAAAATCAAGTGTTGGATGCATCTAAATATTTTTAATGGTGAATCATATAATAAAAAATACAAATGTATATGAGGTGTACAATTTTACTGATGAATGGTGTAACCAGAAGATGAATCATGACCTACCAGTACCAGACATGTCACAAATGTGAGTCAAATACAAATAAAGGTTTTATCCACACTTGCTTTCCTTTTGACGGTCAGCATTCTAAATGCCCCAGTTTCAAGACATAATTTTATGAACTTCACTCTGGGCTGTTGCAAAGTTTTACAAATGAGAACTCTTAGAGTCAGACTGCCAGGGTTCAAATGATGGTGTAGGCAAATAGGGTAAGGGTTCCCCAGAGGAAGAGAACAAGACATAACTTTCTTGACATAAGAGAAGCCATTTTAGGCCTAAGCCATTTTGTGATCTAAGCCTGGCCACAATGCTTGCCCTTACAGAACAGGTCTCAGTAGTAAGTGATTTTAAGGGAATAAAAGAACATAAGAACAAACAGCTATTATCAGGCCAGGGAGATAACCATATCTGAGACAATATATCAGACCCCAAATAAGCTCTATTATTTTCAGCTTCTTGCTTTTTCTTTTTTTTGAGTTGACACAGCTTAGGTATAGATATAGGTATAGATGAAGAAAATAAGGCAAATGTTTAAAATCACTGAATTTATGTTGTGAGACTATGGAAGTCCATTGTACTTTTTTCTACTTATTGTGTTTTGAAATTTTTCAAAATAAAAACCTTTAAAAGTTTCTAATAACTTACGCAGTCATGTAGCCATTGATATAATTCTGATTCAATATGCGACCCCAGCAGCCTGCACCCACATCACTATTTAAAGTGCTAAAATCTTCAGAAGACCAAAGTTTCTTCTTAGTCAACCTAGCATCCTTTACTGTACGGGTCCCAGGGTAATGAGCTCTAGAAAAGAAAGGGTGGGAGGAAATGTAAAAAGGTCAGAACATGGCACTTATATCTATTTATTGAGTGAATAAAAATACATACTTCTCCAAGATTTCTATTTTAAAATAATGGGCAGCTTCCAGGTGGCTGTCAGACTGTAAGCATCCTCTTCCCACCCTGTGTCTCAGAACACCCTTAGAATGAGATAAACCTATAACACACAGAATGGGAAGGAAGATAGCAATGGATGAGAAATTTCTTTCTGGAAACCATAACATGGAGGGAAGGATGCTGCCTTCTGTGGAGGCAGCAGAAGAGGCCTAGAACACTCCAGAGATGAATGAGGTGGAGACAGGATTCTGACTTCCCAGGGGAAACAGAGAGCTTGGACAGTAGGAAGGAAGGAGTAAGAAAGAAACGAAAAATAAGACTAATGAGTCTATTATGTAATGTAGTATCTCCTCCCCTGCTCCCACTCCTCGTAGACAGAGAGGCATTTATTGTTTATTCCCAGGCAAAAACAAAAACACTAAAACAAACAAAAATGCACAGAGAATTCTTCTTTGAATAACAAGAATAAACTATCTTGGGAAAACTAGAAGTTATTATCCCAGAGCAGTGTGGTTCTCAACTTGAATGCTTTTTGCCTGGTGGAGAAGGCAGGGCAGGGCAGGATTTGCTACTGGCATCTACTGAGTAGAGAGGCCAGAGATACTGCTAAACATCCTGTAACACCCGTGACAGGTCCCAACGACAAAGAATTATCCAGTGAAAAATATCAGTAGTGCAGAGGTTGAGAAACCCTGCCCCAGACTAATGAACCCCTCCCTTGTTCTAGCATTTGAGAGGAGTCAGCCTAAAGATAAATGTATATTTATTGTTCTAAGAGTAAAATACTGCCATAATGATGATCGTGGAAGTGACTGATTATTGAATATAAAAACAATTAAGAAATTTCAAATGGAAAATAGAAAACAGACCAACAGTTAGTATAAGAATTAGAGAGCACGTGAACCAAATAACTTTAGGGACAAGAGTGTATACTTTCTAGGCCAACAACTATTTACAAATAAATTAACAATAATACAAGCAGAATAACAGAGACTGGATTATATCATAATTCTAATCTTTGTGGTTTGGTGTAGTAGTATTCATAACATTAAAAGAATGATTGTGAAAACCTACTTTAGTTTTTACTTATTTAATTCCATTTAGATAATGAATCTTTTAAGAAAAAAATATCCTACTTGGGAATTAATTATACTAGTAAAGACGAATTAAGGCACAACAGTAATTTGGCATTCCAGGATTTTATAAGGAAGAAATGGATAAAGAATAAAGAATATAAAGAATTAGGGAAAAAATGAGATTCCACCAAGATTTTGTTGAGTCACTGAACTCAGTTGAAAACAGGCATCTATTCAGTATTGTAAACATATACAACAGAGACCCCAAGAGCAAGCCAGCACCTAACAGGGTTAAGAAATTATTGTTCTGGTACTACAATTCCCAACTTGGAAAATCTGACTACTATTCTTTGAAATCATATAATTTTAATAAACTTTTACATTTTAGATTTATTCTATATCCCAAAACTTCATTCTATGGTCATGATATTTGGTTTTGACACCTCAACCAAATACTAATTTTAAGACTCATCTAGTTATCACTCAGCCAAATGTATATTTGGTGTGTCTCTGGTAAAAAATACTTATATTAAAAAAATAGCCTGGAAAATAATATGCAATTATGTTATTAATGATCTCTAGATATTAAGATTTTGAGTAAGTTCTAACTCTATCTTTATGGCTTTCTACATTTTCCAAATTTTCTATAATGAGCATGCACTATTTTTAAAATCTGAAAAAGTATCTCTTTTAAAGTTACAGAAATAGGTATTATATCCCTCATTCAGAAAACAATGAAACTGTTACATTTTAAACCTGATTGATTTATCAAATGATCTGAGAAAAGAGCGGCAGAACTGATACTAAAATCCAGGTCTCTCCCAATGTCCAGATCCATAGTTCAACAAAATGTATAAGTTCTTTAAGAATATAATTTTTTTAATGCATATAATTAGGCAAAAACATCTCTATCATTTCATGGCATGATTTTTCAAACTTTAAATGACAAGATTAAGATCAATGAAAGTAAACCAAGGTTTATCCTAACAGAAAAATATATGTATATTGAAAGAAAAATAGAACTTATGAATGAGGTGGATCATGGTAGCCCACTTTCTGAAACTCCTCCAGTACTCCTCCTAAAACCAGACAGACCAACCTGATGACAGAAAGTAAAAACCCACAGACAATATCCGCATCAAAACTAGGTGACAGGGAATCCCCAGGAGCCTTGCAGCATCAGGACTGGCCAGGATCAACAGACAGAATATGGAAACAGTGGAAGTGAAAGGGGACTAACGGGTACTCACCAGCCCCCAACAGCAGACTCTATCCTGAATGGAAGAATTGAGAACAGCTGGCTAAAGTGAAAATGTCTTTCCAGGCTTGAAATTGGGGCCAAGTGCCAAAAACAGTAAATTCACTAAGAGATCAAACACAATACTGTGACAGTTTAAACCAGATTTGTCCAATAGAAATACAATGTGGGGGCTTCCCTGGTGGCACAGTGGTTAAGAATCTGCCTGCTAATGCAGGGGACACGGGTTTGAGCCCTGGTCTGGGAGGATCCCACATGCCGCGGAACAACTAGGCCCGTGAGCCACAACTACTGAGCCTGCGCGTCTGGAGCCTGTGCTCCACAAGAGAGGCCACAATAGTGAGAGGCCCACGCACCGCGATGAAGAGTGGCCCCCGCTTGCCACAACTAGAGAAAGCCCTCGCACAGAAACGAAGACCCAACACAGCAAAACTAAATAAATTAATAAACTCCTACCCCCAACATCTTCTTTAAAAAAAAAAAAAAAAAAGAAATATAATGTGAAGTGTACAGATAATTTTACATCTTCCAGTAGCTACATTTTTTAAAAAGCAGAAGAGAAATTTTAATTATATACTGTTTAACCCAATATATCCAAAATATTATCATTCAACATAAAATCAATATAAAAATTATTAATAACTTACTTTTTTATATTACATCTCTAAAATCCAGTGCATACTTTACACTTATAACATATCTAAATTCAGACTAGCCATATTTCAAGTGCTCCATAAACACATGTGGCTAGTGGTTACCATATTGGGCAATACAAGCTTAAACCCTTAACTATTTCACAAATAGGTAGCAAACAATCCTTTCTGCAATGGTAGAGTCTCACCATAAGAATAAGCTGCTTAAATTAGAATCCAAATTGAATAAGATAGGAACATTTAGGATGAGGGAGAGACAACATTTAGACAGTAGGGAGAATAGGGCCCAGAGGAAGCAGACCCCAGAAAGTACTGTAACTGCAAAACAAAAATCTGCAAACATAGCGCAGGTCAAGCACAACATGAATGGGGCAGGGAAGCATACTCTTTCTATGGAGGTGGGAGCCACAGAATAAACATCTCCTGAACAAAATTCCATTGTACCACAATAGCCAAAAATTGGAAACAATCCAAATGACCTTTAACAAAGACTAGATGGATAAATTGTGTTATATTCCTACAATTGAATTCGAAACAGTAATTAAAATCAACATGACTTAATCTTATAAATATAGTGTTGACCAAAACAATAGATACTCTAAGATGCCATTTAAATAGTTTTTAAACAGGAAAAATTAGTCTCTGATGATAGAGGTCAGATTAGTAGTTGTCTTTGGTGCAAAATGAGAGGCTACTGCTTAGAAAGATTTCCAAGAGGAGAGCTTCATAGATACTGATAATTTTCTATTTCTTGGCCTAGGTGGTAGTTGTATAGGTATGTTCACTTTACGATAATTCATTAAGCTATACTCTTATGATCTTCTATATGTATGTATGTGTGTGTGTTTGTATGTTATACTTAATAATTTGTAAGGAAATGAAATTATTAGACAACAGAGGTATATAAAACTAAAGTGAATTACAGAATAATTATTTTAAAAAGAAAAAGCATTTTAGAAATGAAGACTAAAGTAGAAGGAACACAGATTAGACACTGTCTAATAAAGAGATTTAAAAAATTTGAGAGAAATATAGAATAAAGACAATATGCAAAGGAGATCCAATATGTGTAACTGGGCTTTCTACAAAGAAAACCAAAGTAATGGAGCAGGATGATTATTTAAATTAAGATTTAAGTAAAACTTACTGAAAAAAGAAAATACTGAAATATAGATATTCAAAGGGTGCACACTACTTACTGGGAAATGGTAAACAATATAAAAGTACTAGACTCTAAAGTTAAGGAGAAATATTCTTTGGACATACCAGAATTATGCCAAGTCATTTATAAGAAAAAATAAGTCTGGCATCAGAATTCTCAACAGCAACATTTTACGTAAGTAACCAACGGAGCAAATTTTATGATACTCAAGAATTAAGAAAATATGAGTCAAGGATTTTATACCCAGCCAAACTGTCCTTTGAGTCTAAAGGCCACAGATATATAGTAATAAACATGTAAAAGTTCAAGAAATATTGTTTCCATTAGCACTTTCTGAGAAATATAGCAGATATTAAGCTTCTGACACTTAAGAGACTAAAGGAGATACTTCAGCAAAAGACTTACAGGTGAGCACTGAATATGCTTAACAGTAGACACTGACTAAAAGAAAGGGTAATTAAACAGTATATAAACATTACATTTTCTAATAATGTATAACTAATACAGTTGACACAAAATAAAAGGAGGAAAGAAAGTGAATGTAAACTAAGTTTGCCAGTTAGCTGGAGTAAAAGATTACAACTTGCAGCTGACAAATCAAGATCATACAAGCTTATGCTCATGTAAGAGCACAAAGATTAAGAAACTCTGGTAATTAAAATTCCATTGTAGGAAAGAGGGGGAGGAAGAAGTGGTTATAAAATAATTTTAATATTAATTATAGTAAATGAATAGACAATATCTAAATAGAGAACCAAGATTATTAATAGAGAGCAGATCTCAACTTCAGCACTACTGATATTTTGGCTGGATAATTCTTTGTTGTGGGGAAGTTATCCTGTGCATTGAAGTATGCTGAGAAGCAACCCTGGCCCCCACCCATCAGATGCCAGTAGCACCTACGCCAGTGACAGTCAAAAATATTTTCAGTTATTGCCAAATGTTCTGTAGGAGGCAAAATTATCCCCAGTTGAGAACTACTGATATAAAGGTATCAGCATAAATGTAATCAATAGAATCAAACTTGTTAAATAACAAAAAAGACACTTCATTTAAAAAGAGCAAAGAAAACAAATCACATAGCAAAAGAATGTGTGTGGGGGTGTATTATATATATATATATATATATAAATATATATATATATGGTACAAATCATTAAATGACAAACACAGTAGAAAAGAAAACAAAACCTTCAGGTATATCAATAAATATAAATGAGTTAAACTCACTAAAATATGAAGATTTTCAGAACAAAATCTAAACCTATGCTATATGCAGCATCACACCTAAAACAAAATTACCTTGAAAGGTAAAGAATAAAAGTATGGGCAAAGATTCTATCAAGCAAATACAAATGAAAAAAAATAAAAGACAGAGTTCTCTCTTAGTTACATGCAAAGCGAAATCCAACCAAGAAGCATAATATGAGACAAAGAATGACTTTTTCTAATAATAAGTTACAAACCATAATAAAGATAAAACATTACTAATACCTATGTACCAAATAACACAGCAACAACTTTCAAACAGCAGAAATTTCATGAGATTGAAAGGAAAAATAGAAACTCGTTAATAAGAGGAAACTAACACACTTAGTAGCCTTGGATAGTTTAAGTGAACAGAATAATTAGAATACAGAATAGCGAAACAATGCAATCAGTAAGGTGGATAATATACACTCAGTTCTCGTATCCTGATAGAAAATATACCCTAATATAATAAGATAAAAAGAAGACCTTGGGAAATTTTATGAAAAAAATTAAATAATACATTCAGCATTAAATGACCACAATGCAGTAAATTAGAAAATAATGATAAAAAAACAGACTCTATGAGATAGACCTAAAGCAGCGCTCAAAGGAGAATTCATTGCATAAGATACCAACATCAATAAAGATAAAATGAATTAAACATCCAACTTCTTCATGAAGATACACTGAAACCCACACTTCCATTTACTTTTTCCTAGCCAAATATATTCAAGATCAACACAACTTTTTTCCCTCAGGATTTGAGCTATTTATGCAAGTTTTAACAATAAAGGCAAAAATTACATTCTAATTTCAATGTTTAAAATATTAAAATACATTTTACTTTTCTTGCCAAAAAATAAATAAATAAATAAGCCTAAATCTAATCTAATCACACCTCTATCAATTTCTAACAAGAAACAGGATAGATGAGCATTTTAAACTTAACTACAAAGATGAAATCAGTAAAATCCAGACTGTGAGAAGCTTTACAGGACAAACAATCCAGTTCCTTCAACAAATGAAAGGAAAAAAAAGAGATGGAGCAAGAACCAAAAAATTAGAAGAGACTTAGATATCAACTAATCATAATGTATGAATCTAAATTGGATCCAGATTCAATCAAATAAAACTATAAAATAACAATAACAGATATTTGATATCAAGAAACTATCACATAGTTTCTTGTGATAATGGTATTATTTATGGTGAAATGAAAGAGTTTTTATCTTGAGAGATAAATGGTAAAAATTTTTATGGAAGAAATAATATAATGTCTGGGATTTGCTTCAAAATAATGTGAGGAGGAAGAAAAGAGGAATGGATAGGCATGTGAATGGAGAATTGTTCATGGGTTCATAGTTATGGAGGCTGAATATTGGGAACATGAATATCCACCATATTATTCTGCCTATATTTGTGCACATTGAAAATTGTTCGTTAAAAAAAAAAGCACACATAGTTCAAGCAGAGCCTTCACACTGAATAAAGAACAAACTCCACATATATATGTATTCTATTTTTCAAATGTTTATATACATGATCATGATAGACAAAATTCAAATACACTTAAAAAAAAAAAATACTGCTGGAACCCAGTGAGGTCAAGGCCCCAAAGGCAGAACTGGACTAAGGAGCAGGGTCAAAGCCATACTGCTAAGGATATGTGACAAAAATCACGGTCAGGGATCATACCATACCATTCACCTAAGTGTTCATGAACGCCCAAGCACAGGAAGTCTGAGGGTTAAGAACTAATTTCACAACACTGCCTTTATAATTTCTAAAGTGTAAATACTACTCTGCCCCTTAATCTAAACAAAGCCATGTTTTATTACTCCAAACATTAAAACAATATTTTAAGTTACCAGTACATTATTCCATTGTCATAGAAAGATTCCCAAAGTATATACATTTCAAAGAAAAAAGGAATGAAATATCATTTATACATGCTTTGGTTAAATAAATACAAGAAAGCTACCTTCTGAAAATATAATCAAATGGGGAGAAGCAGGCAAAAACAAAGGCACAGTCAATATCCACAGCAAGCAGTCAGACACTGTTAGTTTTCAATGTAAAACATTCCTTACCCTATAACATCAATCACCTTCAAGAGCTCAGAGTCAAGCAGCACAGAAGCAGAAATTGGCTCCCAGAGATTATCACTCGCTATGATTTTCACTTGCTGGAGACCCTGATAGTTCAGCATTCTTCTTAACACCTTTCAGAGAGATAAGCAGAACACAGGAAAGGTTAAAAATGAGTTTTCAGCAGCTGAATTACAATGAAGAAAGCTAAAATGTCTTCAAACTCAGCATCCTGGATGATAATGTCAATATTATTTCTCAAAAGAAATGTGCCCCGTGTGGGGGGAAAAAAGCATTATCACTAAGATAATCTACTTCATGGGAATGTAAGGAGAAAAAAAAATACCGAAGAGGTAAAAATGTTTTAGAGGGATTTTCCCTCTGAATTTAAAATTATGTTTAGCCATAGAAAATTTGGGTGCAAGGGTGGAAATTTTTTTTAAAAAATTAGAGCAGTACTACCCATAAAAAACCCACTATTACCCTGGTATGCATTCTTTCGTGAATTCTCTTATGCAGACACAATAAATTGGGATCAAATTAAATATACCATTTGGTAAATAAAATGCTTTAGCTTAGTTTATTTTGAGTATTTTCCAATGTCTTTCAATATTCTGCCATTACTGAAAAGATTACAGTTCTTAGTATTTTGTACCATACTAGAAGTAGAAATAAGAAATATTCTGCTGTTACCCTCAAGTCTTTAATAGGTATACACAGGACAGGCAATAAAATCAGCCTGTAGGACTATCCATCCACCAGATTAAAAGTAACAATCTAACTGTAACAGGAAATAAATGAACAAAGCACAGAGTGCCTACTCTGGTATTTAGTTCTGTACCTGGGCCCCATGTGGACTCTAAAAAAAAAGCACAGGATGGGGTCCTCACCGTTAGGTGGCAAGCACACTCACCAGGACACTAAAACTAACAGAATGTCCTAGAAAATCAGAGAGTAGTATATACTGAAATGTATGGATTGCCAAAATATAAAACAAGACAAGAGAAAAGAAGACATTATTTCACCTAGGAGAAGGAGGTTCAGACTTCAAAACAGAAGTAATTTGTCTTGTTTTTAAATAGATCTTTATTGGAGTATAATTGCTTCACAATACCATGTTAGTTTCAAAACAGAGGTAGTTCTTGATGAATGGGTGTGAATAAACCCACTGCTATACCCCCAAGCACTCTGAACTGTCAGCTTCATAGTAGCAGGTGCTCAATAAATATTGGTTGAATTAATTAAGATAAGAAAGAACACAGATTTTCACAAGCTCTCTTTTCACTCTCTAACTTTTCTGAACTAAAGAAATTTCCAATTAATGTGCTCTTTTAGGAGGCCAATAATGAATCAATTCCACTCTGGAAGAAATCTGAACAGATCCTTAATAGTAAATAAAGACCAACTCTCAAGATTCAGTAGGACTGAGACTCCCAAGCTCTCTATTAGGAGACCAATCTTGAGTTTCATCACCCTGAAATTCTTTCTTATTCTTACAGAGAGTAAGGAGAACAACTTAGTCACATTTGCATTTATCATAATATTATATCTAGTTTTTCTAGTGCTACTCCTAGACCATCACCTCTAAGATTGCTTACTTTTAAGTAAGTACATATTCAAATAATACTGCAAAATATACAAGCCTATAAGCTATGTTTTATAATAGATTGCCAAAATCAGTATGAATAGCAGCATTCTTTGAGCAAAGTTTTATCTAATGTATTCCAAATGTTTTTGCTGTGGAACCCATCCCTTTCTGCCCCCTAAAAAGCCTAGATAGAAACCCTACCTATAAGAGAAATGAAAAGGAAGCTGTTCTGATTGGACTGAATGAGAGTCCAGAGACTCACACATCCATTTCCATCCACCACCCTCAGATCCTAGACGGGATTTTCCAGACACAATTTTAAAACATCACTGAAAACCAGAGTAAATCATAAATACAATGTAAATAGCAAAAATAAAAGAAATAATAGCCTTGCCACCTTTACATACATTGCTTGTTTGTAATGTATTTATTTCTACTCTTAAAAACAAATCCTCATTATTTCCAGGGGCCATCTTATTATACTATACGGAATATATATTCATTAAGCTTATCGAACCTGAACACCTACATTCATCTGCCATTATTGAACCCTTTCAATAGGCATTTTAACAAACAGGACAGAGATTCCAGTAAAATCTTGCTACAAAAATGGCAAATGCAAACTAAAAGTTATTTCCTGAGACATGTTACTGCAGGTAAACTAAAGTTTCAGGGAAAAGGAAATGAAGTCTGAACTGTTTGAAACGCTGATGATGAGTCTTAGAACAGGAATCACAGTCTTTCAAATCAGGTAAGCTGAAATAGAATGCAATGGAATCAGCAACAGACTCTTAATAGTAAAAAAATAAATAAATAAAATAAAATAACCACCTTAGTTGCAGACCATTAGTTTAAAAGAAAAAGGGAACTAAATTCTAATGCTTCTAATGCTTCCATCAAATGAAATAAACACAATTAAAGAGACATGTATAATCCCAAGGAGAAAAAAAAAACTATGAAATGTCAAACTTGGGAAGATGAAAGTCCATGACTGCAGCAACATGGTCCACCTGACTATAGGGTTACACAGGACACAGCCACTAACTTGGCTTCTGCTCTGTCCCCCTGCTGCTCTCATCAGACCTACCTGCACTCACAGCAGTCATAACTTTCCATGAACTCTTGTGCTTCAATCTTACACTAGCTCCACTGTCCCACCTCCACACCACCACACTCTCACCACTTCACTGGTAATGCCTACAGCATTAGGAGTGAACTTTTAGGAGTTAACTTTGAGTTACCTGGCTCTGGCTGCATTCAGTCCTCTAAATCTATACCTTCTCCTCCCCACAACTAGTGATTAAATTGTGCTGTTACTGCAGTGAACATAACGGCCTACTGATGGCTCAGTGCCCCCACTTGTCTAATCCATCTTTCTCCACTTACTCTTCCCCCAAATCCCTTTACCTCCCAGTCTTCACTTTTTCTCAAAGGAATGGCCCTGCCTTAGCAACTTGGGGAGTTCCTATCCATCCCACCTTGAAGATTCCAACTAGTCTCCCAACAGACTTCCCAAATCCACTCATGCAGAGGTGTCACGTCCTCTCTGTACCTTCTGACAACCCTGTGCATTATTGTGCCAAAGAAATTATAGCTGATATCTTAGTTGTTCATATGGGACTCTACAGTCCCCAGATGTTAACTCTTTTTGGGCAGAAACAGTATTTTTTATCCTTGTATTCCAAGCATGTACACAATGCCTGACAAACTAGGTGTTGAGTAAATGCTTCCTGGCAGACTGAATGAATAAATAAATGAAAGAAATTTAGTGGATATTACCTGCTTAAAAACATAAGACATTCAATTTAAAGAAAAAAAATTTTTAAACTGAAAGAAAATACAACCACAAAATTATATTTCTTGGAGAAAAGACACATAAAACAAGACAAATATAACCGTAAAGTAAACTAAAGAATATCTCCACCTGAAAAGTTAAACTGCCATTTGTTTTCCAATGACAGAAGGGGTTATTATTCTCAGATTTTCCTTTTCTGAAAAATAGAAATAATAGTAGTTACCTCATAAAGGAGGTAGTAAGAATTAAACAGAGATAAATATTTAGGGAAAGTGGCTCAAAAAGTAACACACATTGCAAATGTTAGTTGCTACCGATTTGCTAATCACAAATAGAAACATCCAACAACTCCAATATAATAGGCATTCCAAAGAAAACAAGAATGAGATTATATACTATAAATTTTGATATATGACAGTGAAAGAAAAATCTACATTTCTTGAAGTCCTAAAAATCTAAAATGATACAATTGTTTTTATAACGATTATCATAATTCCACAAATAATGAACATTTAAGTAGGAAAACTCAACACAACTCTACAGACAAAGGCAATTTAGGGCACAGAGGGAATTACATATGCCTTAATCAGGAATATAAATATTATTAACATTTTGCTTGAATTTTATGTTATAACTAGCAAAATAAATAACTGTGCTCTAAAAAATATGGTGTTCCTACTACTAATTTCCATGGAACCATAAAGGAATTTTTCACTAATAACTTAAAGATAAAAAGATTTTAAAGTTGTACTGACCTTGATATAATTGATGTCAAATGCCCTCTCATTCCAAATCTGCAAAACAGAAAGTCAAAATGTCAAATTGAAAGCTTTTGTGACAGAAAGCAAATATTATCATTAATATTAACCTTTCTCCATTAATATTATCTTTCATCATCTTTCTTATCATCTGAAAATCCATTTTTCTTACTTAAGGGAATGTCCTGTTATTAAATTTATAGATATTTATAAGACAAGATAATTTTTAATTAAAATATTATTTTTAAAAACCTTAAAATATTTGGTGGATATTTTTCAAAAAGTCACCTAATTCCAGAGATTTCTAAAAATGGAATATCCATTCAATCATTCAACAAAGACTGACAAGGCAATGTATGCCAAGGACTATAGCAGGCACTGGAGACCTAACAGACACGGATTGTTATAATAATTCTTATAAGATCCCTACACACACACCCCAAAGCCAAGTATTAATAGGGACAATGTACAGGAGTAATTTTTTTAGCGCACACAGAGAATCACAACGATGTGCTACATAACAAAAGCAAACTCTCAATGAAGACAGATAAATGGAACATACATAAATCTCTCAGGCTTAGAATCATGTAGCAGGAGGTTTTAGAGTTGAAAGAGAACTTCCACGACTTTCAGTTTGTAGCTGAGAGATGGGCCTAGCCTCCAGGTACTCTTTTCAGCCTCCAGTGATACTGGAAAGTGTTCTTATCAAAGAAGCTTCCTCACCATAGCCTGTGATTATCAAGAGTCTAAAAGTGATGTGAATAACCCATTATTTACCAGAAACATTTTCTAAGTGTGACTTTACCATAATAGAATGCTGTTCGACCCAAACCTACATTTAGTTTCACTATGGGTTAAACATACCCTGACATTTAAGAAAGTTCTCAAACAATTTTGTTGTAATCTGGGGAAGGATAACAAAAACAAGTATATTCTTGCTTCTGGCTTCCTAGAGCCCTTGGCTCATCCTGATGTCCTCATGTCCTGTGATACTGTAATTTATCTGTTCCAGTGTCTGCCTCTCTCACTGAACTCCTTAAGAGCTTATTAATCTTGGTATCCCTAAAACATAATAGTCACAATGCCTGCAACACAGTAGAAGCTCAATAACTGCTTGCTAATTGCATGAAAACTTTTAAAATCAGTTTTGATAGACAGCATATTAACAAGCAAAAGTGTATAGAGACCCACTATGAGTGTGTGTGAGGCTCTATGGGGTACAGTGCAGGGTGACATATCCCTCCAGCCTGCCAACAGACCAGCTAGAAACACAAGTTATCATGTCTTACATTTTTAAATCATTAAAAGGTGTTAAATAACAGTTCAGGAAAAGGGTAGGCAGATTTCTGCCAGCTTGCCAAATCTGGCCCACCATTTGTACTTTTTACAGCCTGAAAGCTAAAAATGGATTTTAACAGTTGTAAGTGGTTACATTTTAAATTATTATATAATTACCTACATAATATCCTTAATATTGCCTTTTGATCCACAAAGCCCTAAAATATTTTCTCTCTGGCCCTTTAAGAAGAAGTCGGCCACCCTCTGGTTTAGGACCACGGAAGACTCATGGAGCAAAATGAGATCAATCATTCATTAAACTATAGAGTAAACACAATATTGTTGTAAGAACTAGAGAAACTAGGGAAAGCTTGGAAGAAGGAGAATTTGAGCTGGGGTACTACCAATAACAAAAACAAAGAAATAGTTCCGGGAGGCATACACTAAGTGCAGTTTTCTAAAGTGGGAAGAATTTGGATGGGCAGAGAGAAAGAATAAATGGTGACATGTAGTTAATTTGTTAATAGACACCAATAGAACAAATTAGTCTCATGACACAAAGTAGTCACCAAAGTGCCACAAATTACTTTAAAAAATTATAAATAAATGTCCAAAGGTTAATCATGTTCTAAAAAATACATTACTAACTCCGATATAATCAATGTCCAGATCATGATAATGCTTGGCGCCCACAATCCAACTCACGACATAGTAGGCAGTCAGCTGAAGATTTACATAGGGCCAGTTGAAACCTTTCCCCAGCCATCCAGGGAACGACCATGGCAGCCCTGCAGAGAGGAAGAGGCAAAGTTGGAGTAGGTTTAAGAGTGCTGGCACTATTAAAAACAAAGCAAAATAAATCAAAAAGAACAAACACAGGCTAAGCAAAGAGCCAATAAAGATCTGACTAAAGGAAAGATTACACATCATGCACAAATTCTCAAAATCCCTTCCAGTTTATGAACACAGTAATTCCTTATTGACCCCGAGAGTCAGGTTCCATAATTCCAAATGCTCTTTCAAGAAAAAGAAATAAAAACAAACACCTCTCTCAATGATACTTACCAATATAAAGAAATGTAACTTACAATTTAATTTAACTTCCCCACCTCCTGCTAAAAAGATATGCAATGTTCAATTTTTGTTCTCTAAGGTCAAATCAAAGAGTTTTGAAAGGCTTATGCTTAACTATTTCTGTGAGGTAAGTACAATACAAATTCCTTATTCACTAGTACATCTTCTTACAACCTGAAGCTATTTAAAGACTAATTAGTCAGGTAATCAAATTTAACAAAACTAGTTTGTCCTATGTCAATACAAATGCCATTGACTCAATAGGGAAATATACCTTTGTTACACGATATAGAACAAATAATCCACATTCTTCCAATACCCCCGTTATTATTAATCAAAAAAAAAAATGAGAAGAGTAGAGAAGCACTAATTAAGATTCTAAATCCTAAATCTCTTACTAATATATTAATATTAAAATAAGGTCAACATTAAGTTCCTTAACTGTTAATATATATTACCCATCTAGTTCACCACTGAAAAAAATTAAAATCTAAGTGACAAAATGCTTATTTTTCTAAACTCTAGAAGAATGCCTAAGTGTATCCACATAATAAATGTGACATTAAAATAATGGAATGTTTTAAAACAATGAAATGCCAAATACGTTCTGAAGGCCCACGATGTGAAGTCTTTGTTAGGACATGGTTCAGCATGCCAGATTTTCTGCATTTAAATGAGAACTGACCTTGAAAACAGCACAATGGGCAAGTATGTGCTGAAGTCAATGATGCTTTTTACTGCTCAAAACATTTCTGGAATCTCTTACAAAACTCCATTTAGAAAGAACACACTGACCTCCTCATTTTTTTTAACTTAGAAAAACTTATGCTTGTCCTTTAATTGGATGGTTGAAAATGATTTTTTAAATAACTTGAAATTAAGTCCTATAAAATGGATCTCAACTCATGTAATTTAGCCTGAATGTATAAGCCTGCTTAAAAAAAATCAAATACATTTCAAATGATAAAAGTATGTCACCACTGTGTATGTTTGAAATCTTTTATAGGTCTGTGCACTGCTACAGGAGAACAGTGCAAGGAGTACAGTCCCACTTAAGAAACCATCCTGCCACTAGAATCTAAGCTCCACGAGGACAGGAATTGGGGGCTGGATTGTTCTAGGCATCCCCAATGCCTAGAACAGTGACCACCACATCCTTGAGGTTCAAAACAAACACACATACAAACCAAAAAACACTTTTGTATGTACCTCATCTAGAAATGGGGTCTACTACTGCACGTAGCACACTATTTTTATAAATAGTTGGCATATACTGCTGCATACAGTATACAATTTTACAAATAGTATTGCCCTTTTACAAATTTTGCTGAGAAATTTTGTTGAGGAAATTAGTATAGCACCACAAAAAAAAGAAAAAAAATCAAAAACAACAGAATAAGGCTCTAAACCTGATTTTGACATTTACTAATTTTCTGAACTTAAGTCAGTGGTATAAGCTCTCTAAGCCTCCACTGCTTCTGTAAAATGAGAAGAGTAATGTCTTACTCCAGAGGTATGATAAATATCAGACACAATATATATGAGCAAAGAAGGAATCATGCCTGGCACATGCTTTGCTGCTGGTAGCATACTGGTAGTATTAACAACATTATTAATACTACAGTATTAATAGATACTCCACACACGATTCAGAATTTAAAAATTAAAGGAAAACAGACTACAAAAGTACATCAAACTTCACTTCTTACCCATGAGTGTGATATTAGGGTTCCGCTTCTTAGCTTCCTTCATTAACCACCACTCATATCCTCGGAAATAATTCTCATCTAATGCATAGTGCATGTGGGAGGGCTCAGTGCCATCTGAATGGGAGAGAGCAAAACAGAAAGGAAACTATCTGTTAATGGTGCTTTGTAGGCCACTCTCCCCTACACACATACACACATTTCAGAGTAGTATTCCAGATCCAATCCTGACGTAGGGCACATAAGAATAATCTTATATAACTTAAGGATGGATGATCAAAGCGTATTATTTCATTTTTTCATTACCATAAGCATCATAAAGGTCTTAAATTATAAAACCACAACTTTCTATTGTAAGCAGTGTTAAGAGAAGTGTTATCAATTCATATAACTGAAAATTCCTAGGACTATATTCTGCTGGGATTTGGTCTCTCTGGGGTTTTCAAATCCCTATGTCCAACTTTAAGTTCAGATCACCTCAGCTTCCAGCTTCTCAATCCTAGATGTGAATCCTGGGCTGCAAAGCCCCAATTTCCATACCCCATGCCTTGAGCCTGTAACATGCCTTGTTAAATCAAGACAACAGAATTTTGAGAAAAAAGGAACGAGTACACTTTCCCACTGTAAGAAAATTCTATACTAACCTCTACAGGGTGCCAAGGTAGGTAAGTGACATCATTCCTCATGTGTTACCACATTTCACAAACATCTGCCCTTGTTAAGAAGGGCCTCAGAAGGAGAGGGGCCCTAGCCCTTTTCTTCTTAAAGGTGAACATCAGAATTCACAAGAACTACCTGCTTCTGTATCTCCACCTCTAATTTAGCTTCAGCAAATGAAGGTGGCCAGTCATTATCAATTCTGCAAAATAGGGTTTGACGATAAAATTCATGTCTTCTTATAATAGGTTGGGGATAGTTTTGTTATGGGATTTTCTTTTGTTTTTCATTTGCATTGTTTCTTTCAGCATGAATTAAATACCAATTCCACTACACAGATATATCTATTTAACAAAAGCCACTTCCAAGTCACTAACAGGTACATGGGTATATAGACAATACTCTAAGGTTCACTATAATGGAATCTAACTGATAAAAAATAAGTTATATACAATCACTGAGAGAATTTTCTTCTTCCTGAAAACCAGAGACCTATAAATTTTTTAATTGACTACATGTACTACACAAAGCCAAAATTATGACAATGAAGATTGAAAATGTAGTGGTTAAAAATGATTTTATTTTTAAAAGACAAAAAAGCTATATCTCTGAAATATCTCTGAAATTACTTATATTTTTGCCACATATTTTATTTAAAGCTAATAACATCTTACATATTTTTTTATACATTAAAATCTTTCTTTTTTTTAACTTCTCAGTAAAATTCCAAACTCTCCCTATGCTCTGTCTAGTAAATAGTAGTTTATAAAAAACTGGATTTGTTTAGTACTTCAACTAAATAAGCAATCTAAAGTCCACAAGCTGTTTTGTATGGAAAAAAATGCATATTTTGATATAATATTTTAAAAATAATTAGAATGAAGAAGGAACAATAAAGAACAATCTGAGCAGTAATCAACATCAAAAATGTTGGCATTCTTTATATTCTGAAACCACAATCCATAAGTTTAAGTATAGGTTTAAATACTGGGGGGAAAACGATGCCATTCCACAAACACTCCTACCTGTTGTCTGCCCATCACCACCTATTTCAACTTTTAGAATATGCAAAGAGGCACCGAAGTTCGGCTGGGGAAAGAAGTAACAATATTAACACTGTGATTTATTGTATGAAGGACAAAACACTTTAAGACAATTACTAATCACTGCCTTTGGTTTTGCAGATGAGAAAACCAAAGCAAAACTTCAAATAAACAGCAACTTATTCCAAAAGTAATTTGCCTAGTTTTTTAAAAACTAGAATTGTGAAGGTACTAAAGACTATTGGTGAAATTCACCACAGTTTCTAAGATATCACAGATACCATTAAATAATTATTTTTTCATTACCTTAAAGAGATAATCCAGTATTTGAGAACGATAGGGCTCTGGGTAATTTACTAGAAGTCGGGAGGTTGCCTAAAAAATAAAAAGTTTTCAAAAGTATGAATAAAACAAATCCAATAATGAACACCTTTTCAGAGTGCTTATGCATGCCATCTAGCATGCCCATATTTAGCCAGCTCTTGGGCAGCGCTGAGCTGTGGAAAGTCGTTTCCCAGGTTATCTGTTTGCCTGTCTTGGTTTTGCCCATCATTGGGCAAATACGGCTGTTGTCTGTCCCATAGCTAAAACATAGGTTCCAAGCAACAACCAGGTTTCTCTTCTACTGAGATAAGGGTTGGCTGGGAGGTAAGCTTGCTAAGTCTATTGATGAATCTCATTATTACAAATTTATCTTGAGGACCTTGACTCACAGAGTGGTTTTTAGAAGAAATGAGACAGTTTCTCTGTCTTAAGGCTGTTTGGCAACTACAGTATCTGGGGGCCAGAATGGGAAAGATGAATCTCAGGTAATTTTTCCCCTCAACATCTTGCAAGAAAATATTACAAGTAGCACTGCTTAAAGGAACCTCCACTCTCCTCATTCTTATTAGAGATTTATAGGTGCTACCTCTTGCTATTAAGAATGACCACACAGTGATTCCCCAGGCTAGGCTGTACTAAGGAAACCTCACACAAGGAAACCTCACACAAGACTTTCCATCAGAATAGAGGTGGAAGATGCAGGAAATAACACTTGATCATACCTAAGCCATGGCTGATGACTGCTTGAACAAAGAAATCACAAAATCAATAACCCACCAATTATGTATACTTTGGGGAGCAACAGTAGCAAGGGGAATAAAGAGATAGGTTTTAACATGAAACAACCAACACCTTGCCAGGTGTATGCCAAGGGCAAGACTTGACTTCCATGGGGCTTGATGTTCTATTTTACTCTCATATAATGCTACCACTGACATTCTGCTGGTGTCTCAGCCCCTGCCGCTGACACACAGGCCCATGGAGCTACTCTCTAGCCACTTCAAGCTCAACACATCCCCAACCAAACATAGCACTTTTTCCTAAATCTGTTTCCTTCTCATGTATTTGCCATCTTAGTAAAGAACAACACCTGTATGAGCCATAAATTTAGGATCACCCTTTCATCAAACTTTCCATCTATCTTCAGTCACCAAGACCTCCTTAATATCTCTCAAATCCATCCCCTCATCTTCAACCCCACTACCTTCCTAGGCTCTCCTCAATTATTAGAACAGCCTAAATGGTTTCAGGGTCTCCCATCTGCCTCCCCATATTTTATCCTCCATACCACTTGTCAGATTAATCTTCCCAAAACAAAAACCTAACCACGAAACTACTCTGTTTAAACATGCCACGACTTCCCTCCCCCAAGAGCTTTCAGGATAAAGTTCAGATTGTTCAGTTTTATACCCAAATCCCTTAATTATTTGGATTCTAACTCTGACACTTTACCCCTTATCACTCTCACACCATCTATCTAGGTCTGACAAACTAATTTTTCTCTTTCTTCTGTCTGGAATGCATTCTACACCCTCATTTGGCCAAATCCAATTCATCCTTCAGCTTTCAGGTCAAACTCCACCTCTTCAAGGAAGAGTACCTTCTGCTCCTCCCCATATGTTTCACGTAAGTCAGGGGTCCCCAACTCCCGGGCCATAGACCGGTACAGTCGGTGGCCTATTAGGAACGGGGACGCACGGCAGGCGGTGAGTGGAGGGCGAGCGAGCGAAGCTTCATCTATATTTACAGCCGCTCTCCATCGCTCTCATTACCGCCTGAGCTCCACCTCCTGTCAGCATTATGGTGAGCTGTATAATTATTTTATTATATATTACAATGTAATAATAATAGAAATAAAATGCACAATAAATGTAACGCGCTTGAATCATCCCGAAACCATCCCCCCTCCCCCGGTCCATGGGAAAATTGTCTTCCACGAAACCGGTCCCTGGTGCCAAAAGGGTCGGGGACCGCTGACGCAGATTGGACTGTGGACTCCCTCGGCACAAGGTCCACATGGCTACCATAACTCTTCTATCCCTGCACCCTCATCACTGCTTTACTTTTCTGTTTCACCTCTAAGTTCCTTGAGAACAAGGACTGTGTCTTATTCAAGTTCATATCCCCATTTATTCTATTATTCAATAACCATTTATTTAATATCTTTTATGTTATCATTTGTTGCACTGCACAGGCAACGTAATATAGGCTTTGCGTCCATGAAGCTGGTATCCTGATTACATCATTTACAAGCAATGTGACCAAGGGCAATTTATCATAAAGTGGGTTGTCGTATTCATTCAGCTGTCCTAAGACTAAAATAAGGTATATGTAAAGGACTTAGCACAATAGCTGGCACATAGTAAGCTCTCAAGAATTGACAGGCACTGTATACACAAATTGTTTTTAGAAATAGAGTCACTTTCTCAAAGAGCTTACAGACTAGCAGAGGCTCAAATATTAAAGTGAATGAATGCTGTATATGCACACTAACCTATCCTTGACCCAAGGTAAACAATGCTGCCTGCTCTGCATTATGCTAACGATATACATTGTTGTTAGAACAGTGTGTTTCACTGTTTGGGGGTTATTTTGCTCTCTGTGCTCTTCTATCCCTAACACAGAAAGTGCCAACTTTGAGTAATCATACCACATCATTACTCTATTGCAAGCCTATAGTCACATCCAATGCAAAAGCATTAGTCAATGGCAATAGTCAGTCAGGAGCAGTACAGCCAAACGTTGAAATGTACCATGAAGCAATAACAAATTACCAAATTACTAATCACACTCCCTGAATAAGGCCTGGAGCTCTTTACAAGCAGCCCAGGAAGCCTTAGCACAGTAGCTGGAACATAGTAAGCTCTCAACAAATGGCAGGCATTGTATACCCAAACTGGAACACGTTTTTCATTTAAAATCCTTGGAATAACTTCCTCCCCACTAATCTATGAAACAGAATGATATTAACCAAAATGAGTCGTGTGACAGATGCCATCCTGTGCTTTGACATCTATCCTCACAATGTTCCTACCAGGTAGGTATCACTGTGTCCCCAGAAAAAAACCTGAGATACAGGGAGGTTAAATAACCTGCCCAAGGCTGTACAGTGAGTGGCAGGGCCCAGAACAGATCCCTAGCAATCTGCTCTTAAGTTCACGGTCACCATACTGCCTTCCCTATCAAATATGAAGATTCCAAACACTTATTGCCACAAACTGTGCTAGGTACCAGGGACTTCAGAAAGAAGTTTAAAGTGGTGTACAAATATAGTCTTGCAACCAGTTTCATCCAATCGGTATTTACCGAACTTCTAAGATGAGTGATGCATTACACATAAGGACACTATTAGAATAGATAACAGTCTCCTATTCTGAGTTATGAAACAATTCTTCTCATTTTAATAATTTTAAACTGAGTTAATAAACATAAAATAACAAAACATTTCCATTTTCAGCAAGTTAAACAATGGATTTAATATCAAAGTAAAGATATGAGGACATTATGAGTCCTCATTTTATGAAATACTGGCTATTCCAGGTTTAAACCACAAAAATAGGGAGGTGAATGGTAGTAGTAAAGAATAAATGCATCAGCCCATTAGTCTACTGTTTACCTTGAAATATGCACCAGCACCTATGAGTGAGGTTGCAACATTAGGAAATAAAAGTGTAAAAATCAGCTGGGTTAGGGAAAAGATTTTTTTTTCCCACAGTAGAAGGTCAGATCTGTGATCAGACTACAGACCAAGTTATCCACTGGCTTTTACTTCTTGTAATGCAAATGCATAACTTAAGCTCTGATCACCGAGGCATCCACTTTTCAAAAATAATTATGCTTTCTGGTACGTCTACTTAAAAATAGTCACCCAAATCTCATCAGTAACTTGAAACCTTAGAGTTTTGCTAAGTTAAATGATGGAAATTAATTAAATATATAGATAATTTCTGAATAATATACAATGCTCAAACATTAATTACTGAACATAGGTTTATCTACTTTTGGTTTCTTATCACAGAGAAACTAAAGATATTTAGATCTGTTAGTAAACATGTCTTGTGCTACAATGAAAAACTGTACCAAAAAAGAAGCATATGCTTCTAGAAATTATAAAATATATTCATAAATTTGCCAACCTACAGAATACTGGTATAACAGTTCACAATTGTTTACTTCCTACTATTCACTAGAAATTAAGGTTTTTAAGAGTCAAGCATTCTAATATATGTAATTAAAATACTGGAAATAATAAGGGAAACAATTCTATCAAGGAAAGCAGGATGTATTTTGGCTAAGAAAAGGTATGAGGTAGGGAGATGTATTTTTGTTAGGGAAATGAAAGTAATTTTGTCCTAAAGTAGACAAAATGAATGGATATAGAAGCTGGGGAAAGAGAGAGAAGAAGAGAGGGAATTTTACCTGTGTATTCAAGCTAGCTAAAAATGAAATAAACTTATTATAAGGGTTTTTTTTTTAATAAACTTTTATAGCATACTTACATAAAACTAAAACTTAATTATCTTTCATCTGCTAAGAAGACAAATTTTTATTAGACTATTGGTCTGCTTTTGATAAGCCTATGAAAGGTTTTTCTTTACCTTTTTATTTTTTTGCTGTACGTGGGCCTCTCACTGTTGTGGCCTCTTCCGTTGCGGAGCACAGGCTCCGGACGCGCAGGCTCAGCGGCCATGGCCCACGGGCCCAGCCGTTCCGCGGCATGTGGGATCCTCCCGGACCGGGGCACGAACCCGTGTCCCCTGCATCGGCAGGCAGACTCTCAACTACTGTGCCACCAGGGAAGCCCTTTCTTTACCTTTTAAGTAACCTGCCTAGGAAATAAAGATTCTGTGTTTTATCAGAATAATATTCTATGCTTCACATTATCTTTACTGAATCTTTAATTACTTAAAAAAAAAAAAAGCGAGTCTTCTCTATTAAAAGAGCTAAGGTTGTGTGTTTGGGGTGCGGGGGAGTTAAACTGGGATTAAAATAAGTAACTTTATGTATTTGCCTGTGAAGTTCTTGTCATTTTGGTTAAATGGATAACTATT